AATAAATCAAGCTGTATAAATAAAATTAAGTATGTAAATGAAATGCAATTGAATTTGTTAGATTCACAAAAATCTATACTTGTATATCACTTGTATTTTATTCAGAAAAAATATATAATATTTCTTTAAAAATTCAAGTTGTACAAGGTCTGTCCTAAAAGTATCCGGTCTATGTTCATATCTTCGCGCGGAGAGGCTCTCTGAGATGTACTCTTCAGAGGTGACCTCTGAAGGGTACGAACGTCATCAGCAGCTCTTAACCTTCTCGTCAGTAGTCCGATACCGATGAAACGTTTTAGTTCCCGTGTAATGTGTATTTGTTTACAACGTCTTTTTTGTGTTTGTCGCAATTAGTTTATTGCTAAAAGTAGCAATACAAACCGAACAGTGAATTTACATAAAATTTTGTTTTAATCTAAGTAAAAGTTATGCGGAAACTATTAAAATGTTGCAAAAGGCCTTGAAAGATGAGTGTATGGGCAAAACATAAATAAAAGAGTGGTATAGACGGTTCAAAAGTGACCGCACATCTGTTGACAGTGACCTCGTTCCGGTATGTTTTTTTCGATTATATGATTGTTGTGCACAACAAATATGGTCCCACTAGTCAGAAAATTAATAAAGAGTACTACGTTATAGTTCTAAAAATGACCATCAGTTGCCAGGTGCAATGTGTACATGCCAATGCTTGAAAGATTTTTCGAAATCTCCTAGGTGGATTAAAAGACGTCATAAGAACTTGTTTGTGATGGATATTAAACTTGCTTTCGCTAATAACCACTGGTACCTTGTTTTGGGAAAATAGTTGCCGATAAATATATAGGGGGTAGTGAGCAATAATAAAGGATGTGGTTTGTGATAAGGAACTTAACAAAATGAACTTTTATTAATAAACACAATAAGGTAATTAAATGTGAATCAATTGAATATTATTCCGAAATTTAACGCGAAGTAAAATTATGTAACCCAACCTGAACAATACAAATGAAACAGTTGTTTAATACGCAAAACGTAAGTCTCACGTGTGCTTAAGTTAGAGTGAACTTGCCTGAATAAGAGCTAAGCTCAGAGTGCTGCTGACTTTTCCGTCTTCCCATTAGCAACCTTTTCTTTTCTTTCCTATCTGTCCCGTACTACAGTAACGTCACGATCGTGGGTATGACCCATAGGGCCCAACGAACTATCAAAGCAAACTTGTGCTCTCTCTCTCTCTCTCTCTCTCTCTCTCTGTCATTAGCTTGTTCTCTCTCCTTGTTTTGCTTGTAGGCTGTCAATACAGACTTGAACTCGCCTTATGCATAGTTCGTATTGTCAGGATTCAGAGATCGAATTTTATCGGAAACGATGTCCGAATCGTTGGGCTCACCACCTAGGTTACTATCACACAGTAACCTTGCTGGTCATGACGAGCAAATACAAGAGGAGACTTCAACACTATACAAGTATTATTATCCTATCGAATTTTTCCTGTTTCTAATGCAATACCTCAATCATGATCGCGTCATCAGCAGCAGTTTCGATTCCCATTCCCCGCACATGCATTTGTCCACACTATTCGAGCTCACCCACAATCGTATATCAGTATATAGTTCGCTTCGCTTACAAATAATTGTACCAGTTAAGTGTAATACATTTTTCATAATGTATATCGAGTTACATAGTGATTGCGAACATACAAAAGATAAGAAACATTCAATCGCAATAACAAACATTATTCGCAATACTCTCTAACTCAGACTAAATCTTAGACTAATAATATAGGCTTCTTTCAGTTCGTTCGCATTATTATGATTATGCGGTCGTAAATTTGAATAGTATTCGAATTCGACTAAACGCCCGAAGATCTTTACGTTATTTCGAGAATCGCGCTCATAGATCCTTTACTCTCGACACATGTGACAGGAATTGAGCAGATGTTGAAAAGCAATACACGGTGAACCTGAACCCGAACCCAATCCAATGAAAGACGAAAGCCCAATGAAAGACGAAAACAATTAAAGAACAATGAGACAGTGGAAGAAGAGTAAGTAAGCCTCGACGTGAGCAGCGGCATATGCACCGATGTTTTATGATGGTTCGTCTTGAAGGCCACGCAGATTAATTTGTTTGTGTCTTGAGACTTGTGTCTCAGGTTGAGTTACATTTTAGCTATTTGCGGAGGACTGCCTAAACTCGATCCGTAACAAAATGCTTGTTCTGATCAATCTTTTCTTTTGGATGATACTGGAACAAAGACGAAGTATGAACTGAGCCGTTTTGAACCAGCACTAATCCACGCTTGTTTCAATCAATAAGTGCCATTAAGATTTGGCGTTTTTGAATCGAATACCTGATAACTGCTATAGCTAAAGGCATCCTGGCACTCTAGCACTCCTATAAATGAAGTTGGAGTAACGAGTCACCACGGAGTAAGTTGTGCGAAAATTGATCGATAGTTACATCCCCTTGAATTCCCTGCCATTAGCTTAAAGAAATAATAACACCTACTTTAGAAATATGTTGGTATGAGTGTGTCTTTTAATATATACCTTTTTGTCATACATATGCGTGTGCATGATATGAATGACGATGCCGCAGCGCTCTGCACTCTCTCATTATTGCGAATACATCTTTCAGACGAGTCGCAGATATTTTGCAGTTGTCCTTTCAAGCAGCGGTGCTTAAAATGAGCACGAAAGTACGAAACGAAGCAAGAGACAAATTAGGTAAATTTAATTGTGGGTTCTTACTGCGAGTCTAGATTAATAGAATGTTAATATATGTAAGCATGAAACGTCGTTCACTAACCAAAACAGAGACCAGTATTGGAATGCTGTTCCAAAAAGACAAGTGACCGCACTTGTTGATCACGACGGATAGTGAGGGAAAGAGATCAAGAACGAAAAAAAAGGATTACCCAGAGACGAAAACATGGTATGTGCACAAATAATTATATATCTATATAAAGTTAATCTATATTAACTCTGATATAAATAATTTTCTTAACTTGGATATGGTTTCTGTAGACAGTAATTGGACGCTTTAAACGATGACTGAGGGGAAAGATAGGAGTGTGTGCCGGCGGATAACTGTATCAACTATGGGGTGGCTTTGCTGAGTGAAGAGCGCCCGAAGAGCGATTATCCGGGTAACAAGTTACCTCCTATCGGTTTGCTCCGCAGAGCAATCAAACTCTAAATGAACACTGTTGCAGGAGACCCCATAACTGTGCACGACATGCTATATCTTGAATTCTCTTGGGATTTGTGGAATTCCAGAAGAAGAACGGGAAGTCCACGAGAAGATCAATTGCGCATATTTAATTCTTTTTTCTCTCTTGAACCACTTATCATAGCTAGGCTAAGCAGTACTACTTGTTTGATTAATACTACTCTCTCCCTCCTTCACACGTACACCCAGCAGGATACGCTATCTTCCTAAATTCTTATTAAGAATTTCTTTCAAATTCACGTTTTCTATTCTCTATTGTGATTACTTTTTTATATACTTGCACGTCCTAGCGAATATCCATTCCTTAAAGTTCATTAGAGTACATTAAATAGGAAAACTGTATCGATTACCTGAGCACACACACACGCATGCACGATAAAAAACTGACGTGGTCATCTCTATAATTTCTAATTAAAAAATTATAGAAAAACATTTCTGTCGTTATATGTAGATGATTGAGATCTATCAGAAAAATGAATAGTGAAGTATGACAAATACAAAAAATTGCAGTAAATATCAATATATCAATATTTTTCCGACAAATGAGGAAACAAAATTTTAGGAAGTATTACAATAAAAAGGCTGCATAATGTTAGTTTTCATTCCAATTTCCGATAATCTAATTTAAAGACATAATCAAAATATAGGGGTATATTCTAATTAATCTTATGAGAATATAACAATCGATGGCCGATCTATAGAGTAGATCAATTTAAGAGACATGTCACGCGGTGCTTCAACTTCTTTAATAGAAATAGAGTCCAAACTATGAGCTTAGGTTGAGCGTGAACAAATTATCTGGTGCAGTAGATTCGGGAGGTACATTAGCTCCATTGGAACTAATAATGCTTGGCTGTACACCACCTAAGGAACGTCGAGCTATGGCGAGTGAGAGAGAATAGGAAAGACGATTGATCAACACCAATTATCAGTAAGCTCACATTTATTCCGCGTATAAATTCAATTATTATCGCTCGCTCACTCGCTTAACACACAAATTCACCGCTCCGGTTCATGTATGGTTGAACGCACCACGAACATTCGTGTAAACAATATCGAACGATCGCGGAGACACATGAAGAGGAAAAAGGCACGCCTAAGTTTCGAAAGTCCGCAAGGTGCCATGCAAATGATGTGCACCGGCATTCACTGTACGCCACGCTGATATTCGTGGAGAGAGTTGAGACAGGTGTACGTGACCTTCGGGAAGTTCTCCGGTTGTCTGGATGGCAAACGTGATAGACGACTTCCTGGTCGTGATAAATATTAAGGGCTGTTGTCTTGTCCTCGGCTCCTCTTCTAGGCTGCTGATCAGTGATTATTCCTGGATTACTAATAACACGGGGCTGCCTTCCATTAAACTTGCGTGCATCAAGACGGACTCAGCACAACTTGTCGATCACGCAGCGTGAGCTCTCGCACTTGACTTCCCCACCTAATCGCGCCTATTCAGTGTTGCCGGTTACGCATTTCAAATGCGGTTTTCGACGACACTATGTATCTCCTTCCCTTTCTTTCTCCATTTCGCTCTCTACCAGTTCTTCGCTATATCAGCCTCCTACCTCGCACGATACATGAACATAGCCTGAAACAAAGCGATATCAGGCATCGGTAATTAGTTCGCATGGTTTCAATGCCCGGTGCTGGTAAAGACAGAGGAGAGGCCCGAAGGTAGGATAGAGAAACAAACAGGGCGGGCTACGAAACAACCAACGTCCAATCACAGACTTTTTTACATATGATTCATGATAACAAGTATTCAAGTATCTCTGTTTTTAATTGATACATACCTATCCATACCGTCTTCAATAAGTCTTTTGGAAAATGACAATTTTTTAGGCTGCGTCATCGGCGAGTTTAATAAATCCTCCGTATTTGGCAATATCTGTGCACAGTCTGATTCAAAATTTAATGAAAACTCGTTATCACATTTATCACTAGAATTTCTTGAAGAATCATCTGACTTAAACGTAGTACGAGAGATTCCTGAAAAAAAAAACATATTCAATCTGTATAATGTTCTAATCTATTCTCATTATAAAAAAATTCAAAAAGAAGACTAAAAATAAGTATAAGACATGAGAATTTATATATAAATATGTATATGTATATTTATACATATACACTGTGACGGTAAACGTCAAATTAGCGCTGATAATCTAACTTAATTGCTGCATCTGAGGGCAGCACCTACCGGGGGAACGAAATACGTAACGAAGGAATTCGGCACGCGAGCAGACGGAACGCGCGCGATTGAAACCGAACTAGTGAAGCACTGGCCATCATTACGTTCGCTCGCCTTTGTTTCGCTAACGCCGATTTACGTGCCGCCGATACCGAGAGTCTTCAAAAGCACGTGCCAGTGGTCCAGAGAAGTGCCAGGATAGTAACTGCCGTTGACGTGGTGCCACACACCCGCAGAGAGAAGGAGCACGAGTCGCTGAAGGAGAGTGTGTGAGGTTTCGCCATCGAGGGCGAAACCGTGTGTGCGCGCATTCGCGACCGGCGACAAACAAACAAAAACAATCCCGCGCAGTGTGTGACTGTCGTTTTCTCCGTACGCCTGCAATAATAAGGTAAGCTGGCCAGCTTAATTTCGCGATCGCGGTTGCATGGTTAACGAATAAATTATCGTATCCGAAGCGTGCATGTAACAGCTCTAATAACAAAGAGCAGTGAGCGTCCCGACACTGTGCGTTGTCGATGAGCGAGCGTCGATGTAAACAAATACGCGGGCCGACCTTATGTAGTATTTGAGTGATAATAAAAGGTTCTGTTCGTGTTGCTAACAAGTGTTTTTCGACTCGCTTAATTCTTATTGCTTCCACTCACTTTTTCCTAGATTAGATAACTTATTGGTTGACTGACGCCTGTCTTCACATGCACTCCGGACTGCATTTTGAGCATAGATAATTACTTTCGCCCCTTTGATTTAATTGCGCGAATAAATAATAATTAAACGGTTTTACCTCGTTACAACACATTTATATTTATATTTATATATGGGACGATCCATGTCAACCGGATCACTGCTGTGTCCAAAATTTGCTTGAAATTGATCAAAACACAAGTGTGAATTTTTTCGAATTCCTTTGAGCGATTTTTTGCTTTTTGGATTTATCGGATTGTTTGAAAAATTAAAAAACTTCCCAAGATCTTTTACAAAAATTTGATGAATTTCAAGTAATTTTGTTCCTTAAATTGTTTTTCCAAAGTCATTTCCTTCTGAGTAAAAGAATCGCAAAGTTTTTTATTTTTGAAAATTTTCAAAAAATTCTAACTTTTTTATTTTTTATTTTAGCGAAAATGGTCTGTGTTACTTTTTTGTAGAAAATGAGCCAGATTTTCAATAAAAAAATATGAAATATTAATTTTTTTAACATTTATTACTAAAAATTTGAAAAATAAAATTTTTTGTTTACGAGTTTGTCTCTTGTAGCCGCCATATTGGAGCCGCCATGTTGGATTTTGCAAAGGCCAGCCACACAGCATCAGAAAGTAGATATCCTAAGCTTTAAAATAAGTCGTTGCACGATTTTTTTGGTCACATCAAATTTTGGACACAGCAGTGATCCGGTTGACATGGATCGTCCCATATATATATATATATATACATATTTATATGTATATGTACATATATACATATATATATATATATATATATATACGGTGATCCTTTTTGATCTACGAATCCAAATATCTTCTAAAATACTCTATCTACAAAAAATGGTTCAAACAAAAGTTGTTCAGGACAAAAGAGAACATTGGAATGCACCATTAGCTTTGGCATTGAGATTTATTTTGAAGGTAATTTCAAGCTCAAGGTCATTTTTTGTAAATAGCAACCCCTATTTTTTACTGCAGATTTGAAAAGAGCGAAAAATTGTATGTAAAAAATGTCTTATGCAGAATAAGCTGTTGTGATATTTAAAAGTTCAAGAATGAAGGCCAAATGTCTAAATAACGATTTGGTGACTTATCCTTCAATTATCATAGTTTGACGATAGAAAAAATGTTTAAAGTAAACTTTAAAAAGTCCAGAACCTGCAAAAGTCTAAGCGGTCTTGACCATCTTGACCATGAGTTATATCTGGATCCAGATGAACAGCTGCTAAAATTGTTAAAGCTCGTAGGTCATTTTAGTTTCACTGATGACGAAGATATCCATTTCGAACCTTTTAATTTTGTTAGTTACATTTCTTATTATTATATCAGTAGTGTGTCTTGTATCTGTAACCGTTCACCATAAATTTCGATGCAAACGGTGTAATTGACGTGATATTCGCCGAAAACCATATCATATCAACAATTTCAGAGGATGGTGTAGCGGTGAACATTATATCCGCGCTCTCACCTCGTCAGGATAACTGCTCGTGAAGGGCAGCACCTGACGAACACGAGTTGAGGGTGCGCTCTGCGCGGAAAGAGTGAGATAGGGATAGCGAAAAGAAGAGAGTCTAGGATAGCTACTCACGGGGGACGGTTGTGGCCCTTGTGAAGTGTGAACGTTTCATCCCGTCTTAAAAGTGTGCAGCTGTTTTGTAAGGGACTATAGCTGAGAGAAGAAAATGGCATACTGAGAGGACGCGCGCAAAGGATAAGGCAGACGCCCGAGTCGACACCGGCAATTTCCCTAGCGAGACCGGAATACGAGCGAAACTAATCTGAGCGTCGGCGTAGTTAAGAACTATTGTAATAAGGTAATCTGGCAACCTTCGCGTTATTAGTTTTGCGTGTTTAGACGAAGTCGCCAGCGATCTCACGTGAGGTCGCAAGACGATAAAAGGCGATCGCACGTATTGCGTAGCGAAAGTGAATAAGCGTGACTCATGTGCAACAGCGGATAAGATGGCGGCGTCCGTATACGCCACGTGTGGTAAATCGTGGTAGCAGCGCAGGTCCAAAACTTATACGTGGATAATTAGTAATAAAGAAGGACTTAGAGACAAGTAAATTATGTATGCAGTAAAATCATTGACTAACCCAATATTCAAATCCCTATCCCTCATCAGTGCGTTCGTGTTGACAAAACGACTTCGTGCTTTCGCAACCGTTTCTAGCTAGCCGAGTCACACCCAAATACCTCCGAGCGATGCTGAGCCTACCGGATAAAGTAGCGGTGGCAAATAATGGGGACTTCGCCTGGAGACGAGCGTGGCTTCGCCCAAGGTAATATAGCAGCGGAAGGACTGCCGCAGAGAAGGTGCTCGAGATTGTCGAGCACCGATGAAACCTGCACCATTGTGTGGCGCAGCGGCAACGTTCGCGCGGCTCGCGCTCATTTGCGCACATACATACGCGAACGCGCAACCCATGCCCGGCGTAGGACGTACATTAAATATACACCCCGTTACAGTGGATAATCATATTTCAAAACTTTTTTCGAAGCTAATAATTTATTAAGTTAATTCATTCCCAAAAACAATGTCAGTGAAGAATAGTACATTTTTTACGTATCAAGCTCAAGTATTATTTTTATTTCAAATAATGTCTTTAGCTCATGCGATTTTTTTATGATAAGAGAAAAGCAAACCTTTTTTATTTAAAATGCTTCAAAATATGAATATTAAATAAACAGTGTATAAATTTAGACTGAATAAATAAATCAAAAGATTATTTTTTACTAAGAAGTTTTACTCATAACTTTAAAATCACGTTGTTGAACTGAAAAATATTGCTTGTGTTTGATATGCAAAAAAGTTAACTATTCTTCACTATTTTGTTTTTGGCATTGAACGTAATTTAATAAATTATAAAAATCTTTTAAAATTATCGCTTTGATGATAGTTTTGAGAGAATGTCACGTAAATTACTTCTGTGCATTTAGACTTTATGCTGAACGGTTTCCAGGCAAAATACATCTTTCTGATCACGCAATAAGAGATTTGATTGAAACGGCTCGTGATTGGCATCTTGGTGGTCAACGCCATCATCGTGAGTACAACGAAAATTATCCACGAACTTTAACAATTCTAGCAACTATTCATTTGCATCCACATATTAATACTTGATAGATAGAAAGAGAAACTATCATGCCTACCACATTATTTTGACGCAAGCCCTGAGGCCACATCATATTTTAGTGCGTGTTAACCCAGGGTAGAAGCCACTGGGTTTTGCAAATATTAAAAATTGATCCTCATTTTTTGTCATATGTGCTTTTCTTTGATAAAGCCAAATTCTACAGTGACGGACAGTTAAATAGACATAACTGTCGTTACTGATCGGACGAGATCCGCACTGGTACAGATCTGTTGATCATTAAAAACGATGTAGTCTCATGGTATGGTGCGGTATAGTAAATGGTTATTTAATTGGATCCTACGTTTTTGACAAAAATGTTATAAGAGACACCTACTTACAACTTTTAAGAGACCATTTTAAAAGAATATTGACTTAGCAACAAGACTAAGAATTTGGCTTAAATAAGACGGCGCTGCGCCACATTTTACACTGTAAAATTGTACGTGAGTTTCTGAATAACTATTACAATGGTAGATGGATTGGATGGAGTAGTCCAGTTGAATGGCCCCCTTCCTCACCAGGTCTCACATCACCTGACTTCTTTTTCTAGGGGTACGTAAAAAATGTTGCATTTGCTTAATGGCTTACGACACGAGAAAATCTCGTGGAAAGAATTCAAGCAGCTTGCGCAGCCATCCCACGATAAATTTTGTTCAGAAATGTGAACGGTTTTCAAAAACATGTAGGTTTATACCTTCAAGCCAACGGAGGAAACTTTGAACAGTTAATCCGTGGCTAATCGAACGTGAGAGGCAAAGGGACTCACGATAAAAAAGCACTCCGAAAGTGAGAGGCAAGAGGACTTACGATAAAAAAGTACCCCGAAGAAAAAAGAACTTACTACGTCAACGTCGTTGTGTATCGCTAAAAATGAGGTGGGGGTACTTCCATTTTTTGCATCTTCATTGCTTGAAAAAAATTCTAAAGCCCTTTTGAAGCAATTGATTTTGACAAGTCTTTAT